CTCAATCTCAACAGGGAAATTGAGCACAAAACGCGAGAAACATTATGATATAGAAAAGATCATTGATACTTATGAAGATACTCAAAAGAACAATATTTGCCTATGCAATTAGCTTGTTACAGGAAGGCTATCATTTCAATTGTTGTCGGCTTCAGGTAATTTCCTTGGCCGGCTTGCCTTACGCTTTGTAATATTGTCTTGCGTCTTCAGCTCGTTCCTTGGCCGACCTCGCCGGCGCTTCTTGATATTGTTCCGGCTGATTCACTTGGCCGGGGCTTCTTTACCGCGTTCCCGCCTTTGGCTGATTCCTTTGGCCGGCGCTTCTTTACAGTGTTCCCGTCTTGGGTTATTGTCTTTGGCCGGCCTCGCCCGCGCTTCATGAGTGGTGGAGAGCTGCTGTCTTCATCTTTTTGCACCTTTTGCATTTATGAATCAAAAAAAACCAATTCAGATCAAGAGAAAGAATAAAAATCAAGAAAGGCTACGAATTTACATCATGTATGGCTTGTGTAGTCCTCGGCCCACCATGCCCACACTTCTGGCCTGATTGAGCTTTGCTTGCCTCACCAATTATATCATGAATAGGAACAGGGTTGGACTTGAGTTGATCATTGAAAATCTGGAATTGCGATCGATAGAATTCACATTGTGACTTCATCTGTGGCATTTATAAATCCACAGAAAAACGATTCAAAGTTCAGGTCAGTTCCAGGCGTGAACAAGTCATGGGGGAAACATAGGTCTTCAGTTGAAAAGGGTCAGAACAGCATTACCTTGTGTGCCTCGCTTTGCATGTGTTCTTCTGGCGTTTCAAGCAGCTTCATCTTTGATTGACATAGGAAACAAGTACAACCAAATATGAATTTTGTTGGTTCTAAATCAAGAAATTCGTCATTTCCAGAAACGGAGGTTGTCATTTCAGCAGTATTGACTTCTTGAGTATTCACTTCTCGAATCTTTGCAGATGATAGTTGTAGTCGAATTAAGGTAGGTGAGCTGCTGGATGAGGTTGTCACTTTACCTGGATTGATGACAATTGGACGTATAAATCATGTCAGTGATCACTTCATATCAGGATGACAACCACAGAAGAAGAAACAGAAAATACTTGGATTAGCTGTATCAACACTTTTGACAGTGTGCAAGTTTTTGGTGAGTTGATTATTGAGAGTCTCCATTGATTTTGGCTCATTGTTTTTGAGGATGTTTCCATTAGCTGTATCGACAGTTTTGACAATGTGCAAGTTTTTGGTGAGTTGATTATTGGGAGTCTCCATTGATTTTCGCTGATTGTTTTTGAGGATATTTCCATTAGCTGTATCGACAGTTTTGACAGTGTGCAAGTTTTTGGTGAGTTGATCATTGAGAGTCTCCATTGATTTTGGCTCATTGTTTTTGAGAATATTTCCATTAGCTGTATCGACAGTTTTGACAGTGTGCAAGTTTTTGGTGAGTTGATTATTGAGAGTCTCCATTGAGTTTCGCTCATTTTTTTTGACGATATTTCTATTAAGGCTATAATTCACTTTGATAATGAAATCGGATCCTTCAGGAGCTGAACCATCAGGATCTAACTTAACTAAGTCCCCTCCTAGTGTCCGGGGGAAAAAAACACAACAAACCCCGGAGGCACGGAGGGGACTTACATGTTATAACAGTTTTCTTGGTGACAAGGGAAATTGACTTTTGGTGGTAAAAAAGGGTCCACAAATAAAACTTTTTTTTACAATTGTGAAATTCCTTGTGTTTCTAGTATGATCTGCGCCTGCTTCTTGCGCTTCTTTCCCCCGATTCAGAAAACCCTTTCTCCTTTGAGAGAAAAAGTTTTAATTGGGCTCAAAAAGGTCTCTTTTCGAGTTTAGGGTTTCTGATTTGCTGCGAGGTTACAGTTGTTGTCTGCATATGTAATCTTGTAACCAAATTTGGAAACCATCAAAACCGCATGCCTTGATGGGTTCCGATATTGCCTAACTCTGACTGGACTGCTGCCTAGCCATCTCACAGGACCATCTCCTGATGAATCATCTCAGCAGGTACAGTAGAATAGAGCCCGGTGATTGAGGGGTAGACCAACCAGGCTGGCAGGGCAAGAACTCTGGCTAGCTAGGCAGGAAGCACTCGATTAATGAAGAACGACTGACCACTATCATTTGTTGTACATACTTTATATCTTGTGTCTCGCTTTTTCATTGGCTTTTGTCTCTGGCCCGTTTGTTTTCCCTCTTCACTTTTGTCTTGTTCCACAAATACCCAGCTTTCTCTCTTCAATTGTTAACTACTCAATAAAATTCTTGCTTTTATTCTTCCCTTTTTTCGTGTTCGATAACGGCCTGCTTCTCTTCTCCTCTTCAATTTTCGACTACTCATTCAAATATTTGCTTTCATTGTTTGATTTCTTTTTCTTCAATAAGTCCAACAAAGCCCTTTCTTATCATTTGCGATTTGTTACTGTCCAATCAAGTCCTGCATTTGCTCTCTTGTATAGTTTGATTCCCATTAATCAAAATCTTTTAAAATCAAAACATGTCGTCTACAAATGTATCAAACAATACCTTGCCAGCTATTGATGAACCCCAAGAAGCTCAACATGCGCAAGAAGAACAACAAGACCCCAAAAGTTCGGGAAAATCAAAAAATCGTACACTTGATATATGTGATTACATCCAAAAGCTTGGGTCAAATCCAAAAAAATTCTTACAAAATTTACTGGATTCTACCAAACCCGAGATTATCAAGAGACGTCAATTTTGGGGAACATCAACTGGCTGGGCTTCGACCGAGCAGATCTTACTTGGCATCAAGAGACGAATCCTCGACGGATCCGATCAGACTGATGTAGAAAGATGGAATAATTTCATTCTGAGAGAGGTGAATGATTTTTCCTGAAACAGCTCAGCAATCCGATGGTTGTGTCCAGAAATTTATACTGACAAGCTCTGAAATTTTACAGGCAAAGTTCATCGTCAATCAAGAAGAGTTGCCACGAGGTGCAGGTCCTGAAGGCGGATTCTACAGTTCCAATAAAATTGATGAATCCTTTTTGGAGCCAAACGCAGAGGAAGCTAGAGCAGTTCTCATCCGGGAGAGCATGCCCTTCCTCCATGCGTTAATTTACTCAAAAATCGAACAAGCCAATAATGCTCGTGATCTACTCCGATTAAATAATGTGGTGAAAGAAACGAGCAAACAAGGTGTAGTCGAACAAAGCAGTGACCGGCTGGAGGTCTCTGCTGAGGATCTTGAGGAAATCTCACATTCGGTCTTGATGGATAACAGGAACTTGGACTCCCACCGACTCAAAGAAGTACGTGATTACATCGCATTGACATATCATTCCGACACTTGATCTGATACTGACCTTGGTGAACACCAACCATAGATTCCGGTGGTGGTTTTGTCTATGATTGCATATGCTTGCAATCGACGCTTCAATGCATTGCAGTTACAGAATTCAATCTCCTTTGTTGCATGCGGCGTCTCTGATCGTGTGAATGACTACTTGCACTTCCTGGGGTTGGCATCTTCAAGACAGACTGCACTTTCGGCTATGGACACTTTGGGCCTTGCTGCTCAAAAGGCGATCAAAGTTTTATGCTCTAAATCTTACCCGATTCGACCTTTCTTGGTACTTGATAACATTGACATCCAAGCTCGAGTGCATGATCCTCGTCTTGAGAAGACCACGAAGATGTTTCATGGTTCATATGGATACTTGCATGTCCTTCCACACCATCTAGTCAAAGACATCGACTACAGCGAAACTAGTGTTGATAGCCTTTTGAAATATATTCGCCAAAGCCAAGATCGGCCTCTGGAAATCTCTGATCTTCTTCCTAATGAAGACGAAAGCAATCATTGGGAAGCAGTACTCAAGTCTCAGCTCGCAACAGCCTTCTTGAATTATGTAATCAAGAAAGATTCATCAGGCTACAAGTGCTCAAAAACATCTCTGAATACATCACCACCCCCAATCGACCCGATTGAAATGTATAAACCCCATATCTTGATGCTGAAGATGATGAGTGCGTCAGATAACTCGGCTTCGGGAGTTTCTGAGATGCTCACCCAGTGTCATATGCAGACCGGTCAGGATTCGGCGTCCTTCAGTCAAAGTTTACAAGTCATTGAGGGTGATATGGGGACTTGCCTTAATTTCGAATCCCTCATCCGTCAACGCTTTCCTGCAGGCCATAAAGAAGAGGCTCTACAGAATGTTCTGAACCTTCCCGGCCTGTCGCATACCCTTTGGAACATCGCCAGCAAAGTCTTGAGTCACCATTGGGGAGATTCAAATGATTCTTCGGATACAGGGCTCCATCGGACTGCTGCTGCACTTGGAATGAAGACCGATAAGCAACCATCTCAGCAAGACTTCAACTCATTGATGCAAGTGATTCACAAAGGACACACTGCAACGATGGTATTTTTGCTAAAGTACGTACAACCTATCTTTCCAAATACTTGTCATCTTCCCTTCCAATGTTGATTAGATCTGACATGGCCTTTCGAACCCAGACAAACGATCGAAGCATGGCCAAGCAAAGCGAGGCTGGAGTTTGACCGGCCTGGTGTAGCTCAATCGGTAATTGACAAATGCTACAACCAGTATTTCACTCGCGAATCTTTGCACAAGTCTTCAAATACTGGAGATTGGACAATGTACAAGATGAGCCTACGACTGCGCGACTTTGCTTCAATTGTTGAGGGTGATAAAGCAATGAGATCCGGTGACATTGGACGAGTCTTGTTGATGTGGAAGAGGTGGGCGGTCATGGCACAGGGAATTACTGGACTCTCACATTACGCCATACACCTCCCACGCTTTATATCGATACTCGAGCGAGACTTACCAAAAAATCTGGCGAAAGCAATCAAGCACTCACTTCTTATTCCATCCAGTGGCCGAGACGGACATTGGGTAGCCAAGGACTTCTATCTTGAGATTCAGAATTATTGGCTCAAGTATTTTTTCAACAACTCGGTAAGCATCTTCGGTTTACCGTTATACGAAACCTGATTAATACACTGACTCATGTTTCTGACGACAGGGGCAAGGGACCAAGATCGATCGACTCATGGAGAGGTTCTCCATTATCATTCCACTGGTTAGTGATTCTAGTCTAGGTTTAAGATCAGTTCCTCATTCTTATCATTTGTAATATTTCACAGCTACGTAAACAGATACAACAATTGAAAGAACGGTCTGGCCTCAAGGACATCTATCAATCCAATGCTAACATGATCACACAACCTTCGCTCCAATCGTTTTTACACATGGCGCAAGTGCACATGTGTGATACTGAAATCAACCAGAACAGTCGAGATACAGATGATAATGACGAAGTCGATGATATCGAAGCTCTCGGAATAGGGAAACTTAAAAACATCTTGAAGGAAGAGGCGAGGAAGAAGATACCATCTCGATTCATTTGGGGTTCTATGAAGGAAAGAAACGCAGAACGTGATGAATTCCATGGATCAGATGATGATCCGTAGTACATAAGATTGGACTGACAATGCTATGAAGCTCCTGTTGCCTCTTTTTGAGTTTCATATCCCTCTCGATCTGTTTTTCAATTTCCTTTTGTTTCCGAAGTCGCTTCCGATCTGCAATCCCTGCTTTTTTGATGTCACTTGCTATTTTCTTGAGTCGCATCTGTTCTCGGTGTTCTTCTTCAATTAGATTTGAATCAAGAAACTCTTGATCAAGCCTGATCTGTTCATCCGCTAGGTCTTGTTGATGCTGGTGATAGACTGGCGATTGTAACCATAAGTTTATACACTCGTTCACCAAAGCGAATTGTCCGGGTACAGTTTCACCACCGAGAATTTCTCGTAAGAAAATACCATTATGAACAGCCTCATGGTTTTTGACTATTTGCCATGCATCTTCGCGATCAAAAAGCCATTCTGACATCATGTGAGAACCACTTGGATAATATTGTTGAAAAAGAGCCTCGAACTTGCCCACAAGTATGACAGCGAGGTCGATCATTGGAACACTTAGCCGGATTGAGTCGTTGTGCTTGCATATGACTGGAATATCTCCAGAAAACTTGCGCTTTGTGATCTTTTTAGGGAATCCGAATCGACTGACATCTTCAGGTTGTGTAGGTGAAGATTTCAGGAGGGAATCAAATTCTTGGGCCTTTGTAAACGGCAGCAAACGTATAATCCGGGCGCATCCTTGAGGATCACATTGAGAACATCTACACTGACGCATCTTGAGGGCCGCTTCGCGTTCGAGCTCTTCAAGATATCCAGGATCCGACAGACTGACTGGTATGTACCCTTTCCTTTGAAATCATATGAGATACACAAACATTGTCAGACTTCCCAACACATAAGTGACCGAAAACGATTGACTTACAGATTATCTACTGAATAGGCTACTCGAAGACAACATGGAGTCACTCGATGAGCATGCATTCGGTCTTCATCATTCATGTTGGGGCTGACTTGTATGTCATCCGGCCTGTTCTTTCCTGGGGACATGATTGGCTGAACAAGATGAATGACCAGGCCATCCTCACCATCACGCCCAGCTCGACCTGCCATTTGATTCGATTCGGCTGGGTCCATTGCCCCCAAGATGATCACTATCCTGACCCGTGTCCAATTTTGCCCCAATCCAAGAGCCGAAGTACAAGATAAGATTGGAAACACTCCATCTGCATAATCTTGAACACGTTTGACCTGATCTTTTTCTCCGGTTACTGAGTGATACCGTCTGATAAAGGTACTATTTCCATTGCATGAATCATCAGGCTCTCCACGTGCTTTACATACAACATCAACAACGGTTCCGGTCGCGTTTCGAGTTCCAGAATAGATCAAAGTTGGTATTATATCTTCATTAGAGATGACAGATGACCGAGCGAACAGAGATTCAAGGTCTTTGGCTGAATTTAATGGGCGAGTAAGGTACAAGCGAATGAAGCGATTCTCGGGTCGTGTCAATTCACCTTGTATGACAGTCATGTTCTTCGGTACAATCTTCAAGCTGGACTGTATTGCTCTGATCGCAGTTGGTCGACATGTTGCAGACATCAGGAGAAGCGGAACTCCGTCTGTGGCCATGAGCTGCTGGCCAAGATTACCATAGGACGGCCGAAATTGGCCCACATCTTCGGGTATGACATGTGTAGAATAGCCTCTTGATTGTCCGGAAGCCTGAAGTCCCCAGAGATAGATGCAATGGGCTTCATCGACAACTTTCAAGATGAGATGCCGCTGAAAGTCCTTAGAATGATATAGTGATTGGAACGCCTCGCTATTGAGAAAGATTTCTGGACTCTGTAAGAGTTCCAGTGTCAGTAACAGTCTGACCAACAAAAGCTACCAAGTCTGTCATCTATAAGGCATCACTTACCAAGTAAATGAAAGAATAAGCATGTTCTTTCAATTTGGACAATACTTCTGGGCTGAACGTGGTCTTTGTGAGATTAATTGCCTGAATCCCAATTCGACTCTTCTCCAAGACCTGAGATCAATCAAAGGTCAGATGCAATCTTCAGTTATCAAAGAACTTATACATGTACTGACCTGATTGTTTCCGAGGGCATCCAATGGGTTCAAGACCAAGACAACAGGTTTCTTTACCTTGGCGAACATGTGGAAGAACAGTTCCGGAACTCGGCTCTTTCCGTAGCCCGTCCCAGCCAAAAGAAACGTATCATCACCGTTGACAAGGCTGACTGTGGTGTCGATTTGAATCTTCTTCGCTTCTTGATTAGCGTACTTCTCTTTGAAGCGGAGAGAAACTGCTTGTTGCTGCTCCACTGTGCTGGATTGCAGCAGCTTTTTGGTCAGTGTCGGGGTTTCGATCTTCAAAGTTGGGATTGATAAACCAATGTCGAGGATGTCAGAGAGCTTGACATCCTTCTCTGCATTGCTTCGAGTTCGGATTTGGGACACAGGCATGTTCTCACACAATAAATGGCAGGGATTGATATATTAATACAAATGTAAATCTGACACTTTTATGATGGTCAATTGATCACGGGAAATCTGAGAAGTTTACGTAGGGAAATTGACCAATGATATGTGGATATGATTGGGTTTTATGATGGAAAAATGATAAGTGGGAAATTGGGTACAATGAAATAGTGAAAAATCGAAGAATGTACGATGATAGACAATTGATATGTTAATTCCGTCAAGGTACAAGAGCACATGCGGATGACCCAATCTGAAAGATCTTGACAGACCCTTTTGAAATTCCGTGTTTCAGATGGATGTGTTACAGAACACGTACTAATAGCCGCAGTCGCGACTTTGGAAACTTGGAAAGAGACCTTTTTGAGCCCAATTAAAACTTTTTCTCTCAAAGGAGAAAGGGTTTTCTGAATCGGGGGAAAGAAGCGCAAGAAGCAGGCGCAGATCATACTAGAAACACAAGGAATTTCACAATTGTAAAAAAAAGTTTTATTTGTGGACCCTTTTTTACCACCAAAAGTCAATTTCCCTTGTCACCAAGAAAACTGTTATAACATGTAAGTCCCCTCTGTGCCTCCGGGGTTTGTTGTGTTTTTTTCCCCCGGACACTAGGAGGGGACTTAGTTAAGTTAGCACAAAAAGGCTCAAAGCACAAACCATACCTGAAAAAACGCAGAAAACAAACAATTCACAATCTACTTTTGCAAAACAAAAGAAATCACCATTGATAACTTCACTCATCTACATCTCAATCTCTTCATTCTTAATAACAACAAAAGAATTGCACACTATATATATAACTAATTTTTACTTTTTTTTTCTTCTTGATGGTTAGGTTCAACATATACATACTTTGATTTGATAAAGAGAAAAAGCGAGACATTGCAAAGACAAAGTAAAACGAGGCAGAAGAAAGATTTTAACGATCGATGGAAAAAATCGTCATCATAGATTCTTTTACCATACTAGGTTACCACCATCAACAAAATATTCACCTCCCTAAAATCACATTCAAAAGCATAAAAGTGAGCTTCCTATCTATGGATCCTGGAATATAGTCTGTCTCCAGAGAAAAATCACATACAGTCATGTAACTGGCTCGCTTGGAAAGAAGAAGAATAGCCTGTCCAGCCATCTCTTCGGGTTCGGCAAACCTCTTGAGTGGTACTCCATCAGCTTGAAACTCACGAAGTTTAGCATCCATATGAGAAGTTTGATCGGTTTTCACATATCCTGGGGACAGCATCTAAGGATCACAAGATTGCAAGACGAGTAAGTATAAGAGCAACACATATAAAGTAGCGAGCGAAAGGTAACAGACGTTGACTCGGATTGAATGGTCTGCCCATTCAGCTGCCAAGCACTTTCCAAGGTTAGAAACGGCTGCCTCTGTACATCCACGATCAAAAGAATTTCATTGGTCAGTTATTAAAATCAGCAGTGCAGTTGAAGAGATTCAAACTGACTTGAAGAGTTGTAGAAACATTGGGTGAGTGGTCGGTTGCAGATTTGAGAGCTCATCGAAGAAGTGATGACGATGCTTCCTTCCTTGAATCCAGCTAAAATGACCACCACAATGTTAGATGTAAGACCCCTCTACAAGAATTTGAAACTTTATAGCAAGTATCTTACCATCAACCCATAGCTGGGCAGCAGCTTGAGCGGTGTTGACTAAAGAGAGAGAGACCAAGTAGAGATCTTAGCCATAGATACGTTGGTTGAATTTTTAAACTCGATGACTTACAAACACCGAAAACGTTGACGTCGAAAATCTAGAGCAACGAAACCAAAAAGTGAAAATGAGCGAGGCTTGAGGAGAGGGATGATCAAAGGCTTTCGAATGATTGCATACTTTACTAAAGTCATCCTTAGTGTACTTTAAGGCCTCTCGCACAACAGAAACACCTGCGTTGGCAATCACTAAAAAAAGAGAACCATAATACATTTGAATATATGCGTTCACCTCTTCAAGTTCGACCGAATCGAGATAGACTTCAACTTACATCCAGTCACAGGTCCCATTTCAGAGTTAATTTTCTTAAACACTTCTTTTACCACCTCTTGTTTTCCAACATCACATTGGTAAGCACGACATTTGATATCGAATTTCTTTGCGATTTCACTTGCTCGATCATCAGCATCTTTGGCACCTGTTTAGAATTTGACATAAATTTTGAAAGCATAGGCGCTCAGTTATGATTGATAGAATTCAAAATGATGAAAATAATGAGAGTGAAGTAAACTGACTATTGTAGATGATTGCAACTGATGCACCAGCTTCAGCACAAGCTTCTGATAAGGCAAGACCGATACCTCGGTTCCCACCAGTGACTGATCAGAACCCCAAGAAAAGAAGAATGAATAAAAACTTGTTGACCGATAAACCAGATGAATTAAAGAACTCTCAACTCACCAATGATACATTTATCCTCTGGAGAAGTGATAGGTAAAGAAGGTAAACAGAATGATTTTTAATGAATCAGAATGACTGTAAAGCTGATGTTAAACGAAGAAGACTCACTGAGATCGATTGTGAAAGGCATGATGATGAAGATGTAATATAAGTAGATAAACTGGAAATCAAGGATGAGATTGATAAGAATTTAGATTGTCTAGTGGAGAAAGGATTTAATAGGACTGATGATGAATTGAAGTTTGTAGTGAAAGGGAAAGAACAAATTCTTCTCTTCAAAAGCTTTTTAGTTTATGAATTGATTCAATTTTCAAATTGGAGAATCTTTAATTATGAGATAGCGAGAGAGAGCCAAGTGATGATTTTATGATGATTGATTGTGAGTCAATAGAAATTCGAAATATCTTATTTTCTCTTTTCAAAATCAAAAAAAAAACACTCTTCTATCCAATTGATCATTAAACTCTTTATATACTCTTTATAGAAAGTTTTGTAAAACCTATCTCAAACGTTTCTTTTATCTTTTTTTTTTGTTCTATTGAATTCAATTAAAATTTCCTTTTTTAAAACCTCATCAAAAGATTACAAAGCTTTACTTACAAAGAATCAAAAAGAAGTTCAAAATCAAATCGGAACTCATCGGATTTAGTGATTTGATTGATTTGGGTAAGTACAATAGTCTTTTTTGATGATGACGTCAATTGATTTGTTTTAGAAATTGTCTTTTTTGGGGACGAAACTTTAGATTACCATTTTCAGATTTCGATACGTTGATTCGAATTGGAACATATTCAAGTCTACACACTCAAACTTGAATGGTTGTCTTCAGAATACATGCCACATCTTCATCGTGAATGGCATGGCTTTTGCTGTGCTTGAAGGTATGTGTATGTAAATCAGATCAGAAGTTCATCATGATCATTTTGAAACTCTAATCCATGAAATCGATCAAATCCACCTCAGTCAGCTCTCATCTGTGATTCGAATCGACTGAGTCTTTTGATGTAGCACAGCAATTCTCTAATTCATATGTATTGCACACGTGGTAACACTCCTCACTGATTGACTTTCTTCACGCTTGCTCAGAGTCAGATGGTATCGTAAGCTATCGTGAGCCATTGAATGCTACTTTCAAAATGACATCACTTTTCAAAAAAAATGATGAAACTTGCTTCGTACGCCACTTCGTACGCCACTTCAACAGTTCCTCATCTGAAATCCGATCCATTCAATTTCAATCCTGCGTGATCATTCTTGAAATCTTACATAAGCTCAGAAAAGCTCTGAAACGAGTTTGAAAGGGTCATAGAAAGATATCAGCAGTGCTTCGCAGTTTATGAGAGTCTTGATACTCCACTTCATCGTTTTATTAGATTCCTACTTATAAATTCATCACTGCTGAGGTTGAGTGAGTTTGACATCAAGCGGCATCTTATTGGGAGGCAGGGCATCCTCGTCAGCAGCAGTCATACACTCATGGGTCTGGGTCAGGTCAAGCATAAAAATGCTAGGATGATCATACCACGATAAAGTTCATTATCGGGTACCAATCGCACTCCAAAAAAATCATTACTGGGTACCAATTGCAAACCAAAAACCTCAACAAAAAGAATCCAAAGAAAGACAATAAATGTAGTTAGAAACACTTGCAAGCAATCCCCTAAAAAACCCCATCCTAATCATGATCTTTTACAAGACCAAAAAAAAAAGATGAAGTAGGAAAAAGCTCCAGACAAACAAGTAAGAATTCAAACTTAGATTTCATCTTACGCAGAGTTGACTCGAATCACGACTATCCTTCACCTTGGTAGAGGTGGTTGATGATTTTTGATTTCTTTTTTATAAAAAAAGAATTGATCAGAACTGATGGTTTTCTTCGTCATTAAAGAGAGATTAAAAAAACAATAAATTAATTTCAGGTTTTTTTCTTTCTTTTAGAGGAAAAATCAGTAATGATCTTAATCATCTAGTCGAGCGCCTTAAGGACTGCGTTGGGGGATGAAGGAGGAAAAGGATGGCAAGAGAGAGTGAAAGGGTTTGGGGATGGATTTGAGCTTATGTGATTGGATTGAAGGAGGATTGGATTGGTTCGGTTTCGGAAGTGGAAGGGCAAGAGAGTAAGGAAGATTCGGATTGGATTGAGGTTCGATCGTTCATGGACTCGAAGTGAAGATGATGAAGATAATGTTTTGCATATCTGGCGTTGAACCTTTGCGTGCAGGCCAGCAGTTGATCGGATGATGAACATTGGAGTCGAGACCTTTTGCTGGTTTTATACGATTCTGATTGGCAAATTGACTTGATGGCTAGATTGTGGTTGGGTATGCAGTGTAGGTGTAGCATGTAAAGTAAGGCTAATATGCTAATAATGAGTTATTTTCCATCTCCACTCTATCCAAGAATTTTTGCAACCATGAGGCATCAAAATCGAATAATCCAACCAAGATAATCAACAAGATACCCAAGAAGATAATCAATTCCAATCAGTAATCCACAACAAATCACCGAAAAAGGAAAAGAAAAAGCAAAAGAAAATATGAACCCAGAAACCGAAGAAGTCGAATCAGATTCAGGAACCGAAGAAATCAATTCGACCCCAAGAAACTTACCAAATATCTTAATCACCGGAACTCCCGGAACAGGAAAAACCACACACTGTGAATTATTAATGACATCTAATTCATCATCTAATGAACCACTAGGAATCCGTTCAATAAATATTGGTGAATTTGTTAAAGAGAATGAGTGTCATCAAGGTTGGGATGATGAATGGCAATCGTTTATTGTAGATGATGATAAAGTGAATCCATCATTCTTAATCCAAACCCCCCGCCAAAAAAATCTGATGTTTTGTTTTCCCCCAAAAAAATTGTCTGATTGGATTTTAGTTATTAGACGCACTAGAACCACATTTCACATCCACCCAAGGAGGTATTATCCTAGACTGGCATTCATCCTGCTTATTTCCCGAAGACTGGTTCGATCTGATCATCGTCTTACGTACACCACATAACAAGTTATGGGATAGATTAGAAAGAAGAGGTTATCATTTAAACAAAATTCAAGAAAACAATCTGGCTGAGATCATGGGTGAATGTTTTAATGAAGCGATTTCAAATTATAATCATCAAATCGTTATTGAATTAAATTCGGATCTCATTGACGAGATTGATGAAAATGTTAATAGGATCTTGGCTTGGATTCATAATTGGATTAAAGATCATGCTTCTGATACTGTTACTACTTGAAATTTCAAACCTTCTTTATAAAAGGAACTTGGGGAATTTTCTTATTTTATATTCGTCATGGTCTATCTAGGGGTCTTTGCCTGTTGTTACAAAATGTGTATAAACTTTTTTATATAGAAAACCCTAGTTGTGATTTTTGCTTAAAGGAAATCAGATCAGCAAACTGTTCTCAATGAAAAATTGCACAGATTTGCTTGCTGTCATTTTGTTTTTTTATTAATGTTAGAGATAAAATGGTAGTGCTACAAGTTGACAATTTTTCCAATAGATTCTATCTATTCACAAATAACTAAAAACCAGAACCCAATGAATACCTCAAAAAAATCAAACAAACAAAGGAAAAAATCAAATTGCTTTTATTTCCTTTTCTTAACGATCCTACCACCATTCTCTTTCTCCCTACTACTCTCCTCAGTTCTTTTCTTAAGATTAACCGATTCATGAGTTCCCATATGTCTAAGCAGTTGATCAGATCTACCAAACTTTTTCTTACAAACCTTACATTCATGATTCTTTAAACCTAGATGAGTTTTCAAATGTTTAGAAAGGTTTGAAGATTCACTAAAGCTTGCTAAACATCCTTCTATAGTACACTTAAACGGTTTGTCTCCTGTATGAATTCGTTTATGAATCGTTAAGGCTGATTGTAATGCAAATGATTTTGAACAACCTTCAAATGTACATTTATATGGCTAAATGAAACCAAATTATCATCATCAGCATTATTCAAACCTTTTTCGGGGGATCATTCAATTCAATAGATTCAAAAATCTTACCTTTTCATTCGTATGTGTCCTACGATGTTGTACCAAAGTAGCCATCTCACCAAATCTCTTTTCACACATCTCACATTCAAATGGTCGATCTCCAGTATGAGATTGTAAATGTCTCATCACCTTTTGTCTTTGATTAAAACATTTTCCATTTCCTGAACATCCTTCCCAAAGACAAGTATAAGATGATTTACCCGATCCGATATGAGCCGTTGAGATATGTTCTGTAAGTTCAGATGTGCTGAGGTAACTATGACCTTTACAGGCTTTCCAATTACAGTGGTACAGTTTTTTGGCTGACAAAGTGGCACGCTCCTGTGTATTTCGTGATGATGGTCGTTCGGTTAGCTCGGTTTGAACAGTCGAACTAGGTGTTGGAGTAGTAGAAGCGAGAGATGGTGTTGAAGGGAGTATATCGGTAGTTCTAGTGAGGTTGTTGAACATTTCTTGTGCATTGATAAGGGAATTCAGATTCGAAGGAGGTGAGTGTGGTCTAGTTTGGATTGCGTCTGGTGTAGCCTGACTTTTGAGCTGAGAGGGATCCTGATTTTGATGAACAGAATCAGGACAGCGGAAGTGATCGAGTGGTGGAAATGAACAAGTAGCAAAGAGATGCTTCATTTGATCGGAAAGAGACTGAGGAAGGCTCGAAGTATGAGGCGAAGAAAGTGAGTGGAGTAAAGCCGAGTCTAGATCAGATTGATACTGTTGAAGGTGAGATGTATGGTTCGGAGGATGACTGGCGGTGAAGAGATGAAGAGAGTTGACATGATTGATTAACTCTTGTTTTGACGTAAAGCTTGAATTGCAATGTTTCCATTGACATGCATGAAGTAGGGCTGGAGGTCTAGTAGGAATGATCATCGCCGGTATAGATTGATGTTGAGGATATGTCGTAACATTCTCGGAAGAAATTTGAGCGGGTGTGTTTGAGCTTTGTTGAGACGCCTGTGAGGTTCCTAAGAGGTCAAAACTGACATGATGAGATGGATGTGCATCCGCGTGATGAGTGGGTAAATTGTCGCAAGGTGTAGGTTCCTCGCAACAACAACATCTGATCTGAATGGTGAAAAAAGTGGAGCAAATGTCAATATGAGAGTTTTGTAAGAAAGTCAAAGGGAACACTTACGAGTTCTTCGAGTTCCTTGTTAATCCAAACGATATCTTCGCTCAAAGAGTCTGATGGATTGATGATTGGAGTTTGAGGAATCGAATTTGATCCAGATGAGACTGAGTCAATCAGATTTTGAATCGAGAGTTGAGATGGACTTTGAAGGTTGTTCTGAGAAGTGAGATTGATAGTTGAAGCTGGTAAACAATCAAGACACTGATGATTGAGTATAGGTGAAGCTGGACAACCATAATCACAACAAAAGCAATCCGATGAAGAATGATCGATGGATGGTAAGTTGAGTGAATTTGTTTCAAGTTTTTGAAGATTTGATTGAGAAGATTGAGAAGATGAAGATTTAGAAGATGAAGATGAAGCAGAATGGATGGGTTGAGATTGATGACAAGATTGATAATCCGAGAATGGTAAACAAAGTTCATTTGAACAACAGAATGTATCGAATAGTTTTTGATGTTCATGATCTAAATCTGAACAACAATCGAATGAAGCTGAGTTTGGATTAGGAGTAGTTAAGAATTCATCCCAAACTGAATGATGAGAACCAGTGCTAATCAGATCGGTTCTTGGTGATGATGATGATGATGATTGATTTTGATTTTTAGTTTCCATTGATGGATCTAACTTTGAATCGAATCGAATGAAATGATAAGTTGATTAGTTCTTCAGATCGATGACTACTGATTTCCTGATGAAGATAGAGTACTAGAATCTAATCTGTGGTGAGTCTGACTCTTGAGACTGATGAAGATGAAGATGATAAGATAACCTGCCAAAAATTGAGAACCCTACTGGTTACATCCTATATGTAAAACGTTTCTCCATTCACTGCGTATCCGCTATCCATCCCATTCGGATTTATCTACTTAACTATCACTCAAACATCTCCTCAAAACTTCATCATCATCAGACTACAATCTGATCCCAAAACAACCATGTAGCTTATCATCTTATTTCCATTCAATAAAACAGCAAGCACAACTCATCTAAGACTATATGCAGCTTTTGTGATATTTTCAAGCTACAATCTCTGATATTTTGTCTCTGAGGATGGACACACTCCATTTTCTTTTATCTGGGTCAGGTGAAATCAACATCCAAAGTCTCGGGGCCAAAGTTCTGTTTCTTTGATATAATAAACATTTCTGAAGGTGAAGTGGACATCTTGATGAGGTAGGCATTCATATTGAATAACTGTAGAGTCAAGTTTTGTGGCATATAAAAAGTTACATCCCACAGACCTACAATCAGCTCAAAGAGAAAAGATACCGCATACATATCACCTTGAGTCTGAGTCTACCTTGGACTTCATATCTGATATATCAAAGCATCATAGAACTGATATTTCCGCATGAGAAGAAAAAAGGTCATTAGTATTGGTTGGGACAAAGCAAGCAGTCTCAATTTAAATTGTATTTACAGTAAAACTCGAAAACAAGAACAAATGATCAAAAGGATGTATCCAAAGAAACAGAAGCATTAGAAATAGACTCGAGCAGATGAAGAGATCCTGAATCTGCAATCTGTTTTTCTACTTGACATCTTACTGAAAACGCTCTCAACTTAGCTTGAACAAGCCCTGCTCTCAACCGATGCTGATCCCATGGAGTCTACAAGATCTGTCTGAAAGGGTCGTGTCAAGAAAAATCAAAAAACCTTTGATGTTTTTGTTTTTTCGGTCTTTACAATTATTTGAGTCCCATTGAATCAATTCATCTCAGACATTTCATTACATACTTAGGCGCATAAGACACCACCCCCGCACACAAAATCATACTGAAGCCTATGGCAGTCTCTCCATCTGTGAAATCATTGAGGCCTCTCGATCCACCACCACAGTAGCAACAACCAGTTTTATATAATAACTCATGATCTTCATGATCATAGACTCGAATCTGTCCCCATATGCCATGAGCATCCCAATTTGTCTTTGCAATCGGGACAAATTCACCATTGCCCATGTAGGTGTAATCGAAGCCTGATTTCATTTGTCTTGCTTTTTTTTCAATGTGACGTAGTTCTTCAGCACTGTATGTTTTCATCTTTGTCATCTTAGGAATACTTGGCGCTTCGAGAGTGGTTTTTGCTTTGATAGTTGAAGTTTTACTTCCTAGAGCTGGAGCTGGGGCTGGAGCTGGAGTTGAAGCTGGAGTACCATGTTGTTTTCCAGCACGATTTCGAAGCATTCTCCGTGTATATTCAATGTTTTCTGGTAATCCTTCGTTTTTCTTTGTCCGATCATAATCTCCCAATAACTTGTCGTTTATCATGTACAATATATCTTTGGCTGCTTCGCCTGTTGCCATCCTGTGGTTCATCTCATCAATTCCCGTACTCCAAGTGATCGCGGAAACAGCACCAGATGGTGCACCAACCGGGACCATAGCGGATGGTGCGTGAGCTATACTTGATGTCGCGTGGATCTGGGATAACGCAGCGTACACCACGGGGCTGATGGCACGTGACGCTCACGTGAGACATTCAAACACATGCTGTCTACATCGTCATACCCGATGTGAGTTACACCTGCCAGCCAGCATGGGCTACACCCAGTCTGGTCACGTTGCTACAATGTGATGACTCACCCGACAAGCAGGTGAGTCATCTCACCTTGTTAAGGGTGTGAGGCAGGCTGCGTGACAACCAGGGGGGAAGATTGCACACCTGTACTGTACGGAAGTTGTATTGAGCTTGTGAGCATTGGCTCATCCCAGTGCTTTCCCAGCCTCGTGATGGCTGAATAAACACACCAGTTGAATCAGGCGGGGATGTTTCCAACCTTTGCTTGCTGAGTGCACACTATAACAATGATCTGATCTTTGCATTGACAAGGACTACATGTGGTAATTATAGAAACACAAATAACATGGAGAACAGTTAGAAAACAACAAAACTAAGACTAGAACTAAAACTAAAAATAGTCTGTGAGTGAAATTTGATGATTGATTGTAGTGCTTGATAATATGATTTGATGAACTGTTTCTATTGAAGAGGATCATTGAGCAATCAGCCAATGAGTTGATCAGTGAGAGATAAAAAAATGACACAAAGAAAGACCTACAATCTACGAGATCGATCCGGGTGTACGGGGCGATAAGAACCATGAGAACAAAAAGGAAGGGCAACATTGATATCTGGTCGAGAGGAGTCATGATAAATATATGAACAAATTAACAGAAAAGTACCAAAAGGTTAGTCTTCAACTTCATTGAGATATCAGAAGATTGTTCAAGCAGGGGGAGAAGAGGACTTACAAATGAAACAAACAGTCAAAGGGTTTGATGTTAACACTTCAAACAGGAGCAAACCATGACATCAAGCTTCACAGTAAATTGAATGAGATAAATATGAAAGAATGAAAGACTGACAAATGAAATAATCGATCAAAGGACTCCAATATGAATGGAACAGAACTAGAGTCAGCAAATATGAATCTGAAAAAATGAAATTTAAAAGAGTGTTTAGATAGAAAAGAAAGACTTGAATCCAGCCAACTGGTACCTATCAGAATGATGATTTATGCAAAGAAGTCGAATGAATGAGCGCCTCCAAGACAAAGGTGATCGATGTGATGTGATGACCCATGAGTGACGAAGGACTCGAGCGTAGACTGGGGCAGTGGACAAGGTGTAACTGTGGAGTCTGTGACATGTGTCTGTGACGTCATACTTGACAGCATGTGTACCCGGTTCTGAAAATGACACCGGGCTGTGACATTTACACAGCCTGCTTTTGGAAAAGCGGCCTTCGAATTTCAGGATCACTTTGGCCAACAGCTCTTCTTGATTGTTCTTAACCATTAAGCTAGCCCCATTGGGTAAGTCTTTTCTTCTTCTTTGTCATCCAACACTCTCAACTTGATACTAATAGCCTTGTATCTCAATTGTCTTTTGATTGTCTTCTAGGGTTTCAAAGCTATCATCGCCAGTTTGTATCAAAGTAGTTGCTCTCAGCTTTCACTTCCATTCATCTATTGGGTATACATGTTGATGTTCCAGGTTGTAAGTTTTTTGTTGACTTTTATCTTATACATACCTCTTATGTCTGTGTGTGATGCAAGCAACCCGTGTTTTTTGTGTTTTGTTCTTTTTTGATAGTGTCAATAAGGCTGACATATCTTTTGATAACAAAAATGTTCTCACTGTATAGCGTAATTAGGATACTTTTGTACAATATTGATGTAATTAGCATTTACGGATTCTGTTTTCAATAGGAATCTAAAATGTTCATAATCAGTTACAGTATGAACACAAAATAACCAATTGTGGAGATGCATCAGAAAAAAGAAAAGAAAAGGATCCCAGAATTGATCAATGGGCTTTTTCTTGTTTTGTGTACTTGTCTCGATTCACTTTGTGTTTTACACACATTAAAAAAATACCCATCTGCTCAGCACCCGACGCACATTTGGATGCTAGTTGTCCAAGCTGAGTGTGTGGATGGGAGGTTGTACTGACACATGCCGGCTCACGTGCCGCCCAGGTGCTTAGGACCCAAATCAGCTTGCATGACTGGCATCCAAGTTCATTCGTGTGCTGAGCACCTGGCTTTCAGGCCACGCTCACATGCATCAGCTCACCCGCTGCTCACGGCGAGCTCATATGTAGAACGGGTGGCAAGCTGGGGTGAGGGCCTCGTAGCCGCGGTCACACTGCTGCCACCTGTTCTACACAACCACTCGGCGTGGTCATACCCAACTTACGTTTCACGTGGTCCCAGTTCAAAGTCGCCCCGTGGTGTAGGTACAAGAAGGAATCCATAGGTATAATGCTAAGACCAGTTGTGTCAACATATTGCCAAAAACGTGGTTTCTTAATCACTTTTGTAAACAATTCACTAAACCCAAAACAAATATCAGCACTATTTCAATGTGGAAGCACTATAGAAAACGACGAAATATTATGCTTACAAAAAAAGTGTTTCAATAACGAGTGTAGCTCCAAGGCTTAAAGCTCACAACCGTCAGATGAGGGCCTCAGCAGCGAATGGTGAGTCTTCCAAAATGGCTTATCCGTTGAGACAAATTCTCGATTACTACCGCCAGACTTTGATGCGAACAATTACCATGAGGTCGAAAAACAGGTAGTTTCAAAAACAATTAGCGACATAAAGATCGGGCGCTTCGTTCAGCAGCCAGGGAAGATAGTTGAGCGAGGCTCACAGAACAATGACTCTGGAATGTTTGAAGCTTCAAGAATCGCGGGTCTAAAGAGTAAACAAAGCTATGGAAGATTGTAATGATTGAGTGTCCAAGACTTGAAGAATATCTAAGAGATGATGTCCGATGATGATCCGCATATGAATTTTAAATAATCAAGGTCAAGCAAGTGATTTTGTGTTAATGCAGCTCCACTCTGCTCTACTACAAGTACCACCTCAATTAGTTCAAGGAGTCTAAACAAATTGCTAACACGCGTTCATGTTTTATGATCGTGAGTTTCTGCAATAGATATGTATCGGTTAGATTGAATTCGACAAAATTCTTCATTTTATTTTGGGTTTCAAACTGGTTTGATCTTACAGCCATTGTAATATCTAATGGCAGATTTTTGAAAAGATGTGTCGTGACTGGTTTTTACTCTGGAAGTCCAAAAGTCGAAAAAAAGACGAATTTTTTCCATTTTCAGATTAAAGTGTATCGTGCTTCTTATAAGACGAGACAAACCCTTTCGCATTTCATCTTTCTTACGTTTTTCCAACTCTCTCTTTCCGGTTATTATCTTTTCGAAATGATTACCGGAAAGCCATTTATAATGGCGACCACATCATCCCATCCAACATCTTTCCCCAGATTTCGATCTATTTCAATTCCTATAACATCCGTTATATCCACATTCTCCTTTCGTCCATTCTTTAGCAAAAGAACCATTTGTGATCGTATGTTATCCGCTTTGGTTTCATAAAGTTTTCTATCTCTCAATTGATTCTATGCTCAT